AGAGCAATAAATATCTACTTGTTTGAACACAGGGAAATGTAAAGGCAATCTTCACTAATGAACACGCTCGTGTTTACTGTTGACCATACACCTAACGGGGTGATTACACAGCTAAGGTTAACACATTTCTATGAGATGCTTTAAAAATTGGTAAAATCTAAAATAGCATAGAAAACTTTCAGATTTCAAAACAATACCATGCTTTCACATTAGTTCAGTAATGGTTTCAGAGAAAGAGAGAGGGAGGAGGGAAAGAAAGAGGAGTAGGGAGGGACAGACGAAACTGAAATGATGTGGGGAAGCAAAACATTCAAGAGCAGAAGCTCCTACGTGGAAAACACCGTGTTCGTGAAGAGCAAATTGCCTTAGGCTTTTACATCCAGAAGAGAGTTCAAACTGGGTTTTCCAAGCTTAAGATTTCTTGTTCATCTTGTTGTGATATTGTGATTTATAAGAAATGCATATTTGAGTGGGGGGAGTGTATAGCTCAGTGGTAGAGCGCATGCTTACCATGCACAAGGTCCTGGTACCTCAATTTAAAAAAACTGTAATAATAGAAGAAATGTATGTTTGGTCCCATTCAGGATTCCTGGCTCACAGCTCCCCAAACTCTTGGAATTTCTGAAGTGTGGAGGATGACAAAGGTGTCTCTTGTTATCTTAATGAGATGACTTTAATACTGGTTTCCAGGAGAACAAACCCTGTAATTTCAGAGTTGGAACTTTCAGTCCCAACCCCTGACCTCCCAGGAAGGGAGAGGCTGGAGGCTGAATCACTAACCAGTGGCCAACAGTTTAATCAATCTCATGCTTGTGTAATGAAGCCTCCATAAGAACCTGGAAGGACAGGGTTCATAGAGCTTCTGGGTTGGCAAACACATGAAGACTAGGAGAGAGTGGCATGTGAGGACAGCACGTAAGCTGTGTGCACTTTCCCCATTTCTTGCCCTACACATCTCTTCTGAGTTCTATCTTATTATAATAAATCAGTAATTTGGGAAGTAGCGAATTAATTAAACCAGAAGAGGGAGTCACGGGAACTTCTGATTCATAGCCAATCATTCAGAAGTCAGGTAACAACCTGGATGTGCGACTGGTGCCTGGAATCCAAAGAGGGAGTCGTGGGAACCTCCAATCTACAGCCAGTGGGTCAGAAGCACAGATATTAAGGCAGAGTTTGCCACTCCTAACGTAGGGGGTGGGGGGTCAGGGGGTGGGGTTGTCCTGTAGGACTGAGTCTTCATCCTGTGGAATCTGATGCCATCTCTGGGTAGACCGCGTCAGAACTGAGTTGAATTGTAGGACACCCAGCTGGTGTCTGAGAATTGTTTGGTGGGAGGAAGCAGCCCCACCCCCATGCTGCAGTTGGGTCCAGGGACCTAATCTACCTGTACAGATGATGCAGTTAGGTCTTTACCAGAGAAATAACATCTTTTGCCTATAAATTACATTGATTCCTTTTACATATTCTGGTAGACTATTTTAATTATGGATTAAATTTTAAGATTTTACTAATTATACAGGCCTGGAAAGTTGAAGCATCCGGAAAAAACTGGCTACAAAATAACCACTGATATCATGAAGACATACTATCTGCTGCCTGACTGCAAACTTGTTGGTTATCAGCAGGGCCCTTTTGATTCAAGTCCATCAAAGCTAGTAGGCATATGTGGGTGGACCCTGGATGAGGATAAAGTCAAGACCAAGAAAGTCAATAAGCCACGGCCAGAGATTTCATCAAGGGTTGAGGTAGCAGGGCCTGAGCCACAGTCAGAAGCAAGGGCCTGACTTTTCCTCCACAAGGTTTTACTGATATTGGAGATCAGTCAGGACAATGCACTCATCAACTAGCACAAAACATTCTGGTTCTGAAAATCAGTGCCCTATCAGAGAGCGGATTTTCCAGAAACTAAGAAATTGTGCCTTGAAGAAGATGGGGTTACCTGCTGACCATCTCACAGAAATGAAATCTATTTGAAAATATCCCTTATATACAGTAAGTAATATTTTATGTTCTGTGTTTTAAAATTTAAATGAGATTTATATCTCTTGCAACTCCTCAACCAAAACAGATACAACTAATTTCACTTCTATTGATTTAATTACTTCAGTGATCCTCAATAGAAAACATTCTGTATATCTGCTTATTAGAATACTTAAAATAACTTAAAATATATTTTAGATAATAATATCTCTTAAAAAACATTCTGATAAATTAACAAGGAATTGTCATTTTAAAATGATGAATATATATCATTACCAGCCAGTAAATTTTATAATAATCAATAATTTATGTTAAACTCATGACTAATACTCATAAAATCTATTATTTTCCATGGGTTTAAGATATTTCTTGGATATATATGGCATATTTTCCCTTTTTCAGCTTAATTAAAACATTTTTATATACTAAAAGCATAATAAATGATGTTTAATATGTCTTACCCAATATAGTTCAGCCTAGGAAAAATAATATATATTGTCAATGATGTAAATAACTTTAGAAGCTACCATTTGTTTGGTGTAGATAGCTAGTTGCTGTGGTAACTCACTGAGCCAGAACCTTTTAGAAAATGTTACTGGGTTGATCTGAGAATTTATCGAGGATTAATCTGGTTGGTTCTATGATAAACAATTGAAAATTCCTCAGGCTATAATAACAGCTTGACTTCCTTCCCTCTTCTATTATTTTAACTTCAAATAAATGGTTAAAAATATAAGTTTTATCTGTACACTAAGTTGTCACCAAAATGATTTTGTGGCCTAGTGATAATTCTGAATTCCACATTATTTATAGCTCTAATCTTGTGTATAGTAATCATTTCTGAGGGCTATGGAATTTTCCCATTATTCCAAACTAAAGAATTTAAGACAACATGATAGTGTTCTCATTCATGTATGCTGTCCAGCCTTAGAGTTGCAAGATGTATACAGTGTCTGTAAAGTAGCAGAAAGATGTAGAATGTGTGAAAATGGGGGAACTGTAGGGCTTCTGGAACACTGATATGCCCTTTTTGACAGCACATCAAAATGGAGCAAAAAACATAAAGATGTTCATACTTTTAACCCAATGATCTCACTCTGGAAAACAACGGACCAGATGAGAAGGTGAACACATGACATTCCTAACAGCATCCTGTAACGTAACAAACAACAGAAAACCCCCTCAGCGGTTAGCAAGAGAAGAAGTAGTGATTAATGCAGTAACAACATCCGAAATAAAATTTATGATATAACAACCTTTAAAAATAAAAATAAGATGCGGTGGTAACATGAAGGCTATGGCGTCTGTTAATGGTTTCCACAATGTAATGACAATGGTGTAAAACAGAGCCCCCTGATATAGACAGATTGCAGTGTAAACCAGGGTCGGTCATACACAAAACAAAAACCGTTATAAATATTTATTATTAACTTTTAGTCTGATATGTCACTCTTTTAATTAAAACACAGTAGAGTTACTTATTTATCAAAGAATTTCTTTTCTAAGTTCTAGAAGATAGTGCTACCAATTCCAGTGGGAGCACTCAAAAGACTGGTGGGTTTTATTGAAGCTAGGTGTCCTAATGACTCATTACTACTTCGGTGAGTCACAGACACTTTAAGGTACCTTCCAAGGGGGTCTAAAACAATAGGAGAGGAGTTATTAAAGGAGGAACATCTGGAAGGGGCGTTACTTTATTTTTTCAGGCGCCCATTTTGGCTGTTACGCTTTTCCAGCGCCTCGTCAGTGCGCACGTCCTCGGACATTCTTAGAATGCTGAAGGTGTGCTGTAAGTCGCCATCCCGCGTATCATTAGGCTGACTCATGAATCAGATTAGGAAAGTGTCAGAGATTGAAAGGCTGAGGTTTCCGAAAAGGAATTAAGGTAAAATCGAAGTAGATTTAAAAAATAAAATTCAGTGGCCAAGGTGGCAAACTCAAAGGCAGGGGCCAGAAGACAGCAGAGACAGGTGCACCGGGCCAGGTTTAAGTCACAGGGAGTGAGGGGGACGGTCGCTAAGCAGCAGTCACTCCACAGCCCCACCAGGTTGCTGGCATCATGAATGCAGACCCAGGGCTGCCAGATACTCAGAATCACTCAAGGGAGGCCAGAAATCTACCTGCTCCTGCGAAATCTCCTGAGTTTCTAACTGCTGACAACTAACTCAAATTAGTTTTCATTTTCCGTCTCTTGTGATAGCTGAGTAACAGCTGCCTTTGGGCTTATTTTGTTCCTTGACTTCCTGTCTGTGTGCCACCTCTGACCTATAGTTAGCAGGCAGGGATTTCTCGAAAGGATGATCTGTATTTGCCAGAAGTCACATTTTCAATTGAGGCCCTTCATAGGAAAGTTTTAAAATATTAAAAAAAAAAAAAAAAAAAGGAGAGAGAAAGAAAAAGAAAGAAATGAAAAAGGCCAAACAGTGAAGCTGAAAGTAAGTTGTGAGCGTACTGGGGAGCAAACATCACTAAGGGCTTACAAACTCCAGGAACATTACACGAAGACCTAAGCGTTTCGGAGGAGCAAAACCTTAGAGGATTTTACTTTTATTTTCTCAGTGACTGAGGAGACAATCTGAGTCACTACAAAAGGAGACTAGCCCAAAAGGCTTTTTATAAAGATGGCCCCCTTTACTGAAATCACATTAAACATGATCAGAACCAAATGACAAAATTTGACCAAGATGGAACGGCTAAGAGCTACCAAACTGCAAATAGGATCCAGCTGTGCTCCTGTACTATGCCTGTTCCTCGTTCCCCTTGACCTATCCCATTCCTTCCAACTCTCATTCTCCATCCTTGGCTGTGGAAAGGAAGTCCCTGGAACGACTTTCTGGCTGAGTAAAGACAGAAACAGGTGGTGAAGCATAAAGGCGACTTTACTGTAGCTGGTAGGAACTGACTGTCATCGGAGTTAGACTCTGTGGATGGGTGGGCATGAGTGGTTGGAAGGTACGGGAGAGCCGTCTGTTCATCTAATCATTTGCATCACATACACCCAAGGAAAAAATGTTTACCTGGTGGAGCCACGGTTAACCTTTTTTCCTTGCTGAGCCGGTGCCCTTGGATGAATTCACTCATGGAAGGGGGGCCCTTCAGAAGAAATGATTCTGTGGAGGTGGGATCAGGGGGAACTCTTAATAAATTCTGTAGGTAGGAAGCCCCTGACGTCCTGGGACGGCTCTGATCACAAAGGGAAGGTGAAAATTGTCTTGCAGGAGATCCAAGAAAATACATATAGGAAACAAAAAAGTTTTACTTTAATTACCTTTCAAAGCCTCACCAGTGACAACATTATTTATATTGGCATTTAATTTTTTTTTAACATGTAAAGCAAGATTTTCACTAATTGTTTAATTTCCATACCAGGATACAACCCTATTTGGAAACTGTACTGGATACTGGAAAAGAGATTTATTAGAGTTAGTCAGTTTGAACCACAAATAGAAAATATTTATATTGTTTTATTCTTTACTGAAAGCTCCTAAAATAAAAATTTTGTCATTAACTGAAAATACAGGGTAAGTAATTAATTCAACATCTAGGACTCTAGAGAGAGGTCATAAAAATCAAGCCACTAAAAACCTTACAAGTGATTTTCTTTGAGCAATAGTCACACACCAAATGAAAAAAGCACAAAAACCTGCTTTTCAGAGAAAGAGTATACAGATTCCACTCCACATGACCTAGATAGAGACATCTTCCTTCAGTCAGCCAGCAGTTTTCGGAATATGAACAAAAGTTCCCCTAAGAGAACACATTCATATCCTTGCCCCGTTAGAGAGAAACTGGTAAATAGCACCATTGCCAGAGGTACAATGACTTTTAAAATTATCACCCACATAAAACATAGCTTCATTCTTAAATAGCCACCTTTTATCTACCAATTTTTAGGTTGGAGGTAAGGGAGAGGTATATTTATGCATACAAGGAACAGCAAAAATGTTGACAGACACTTCGAAATCATATTATGGTTAACCAAGAGATGGGGCGTTGGGGACGGAAAGGAATAAATAAACACAATTATCAAAAGGTTTTAATTTGGAAAACCCAACGTTGGCAAGGCCCATTTATACACCCGCTCCCAATTTTTCTCCTCCTTCCCTTCCTCCATCCTCCACAATAAGAGCACATTAATTTTTGCAGTTAACTAAAATCTGGCCACTGCACCATACTCTGAAGATCTCTGCATGCATACCTTTTCCTCTGAGTGCCACTGCGGACCCGAATGCTGGGTGTCTGTGGGCCCTGACTATGCAGGAGGGAAGTGTCTATGGTGGGCGCGGTGACTGACGCCTCCCCACTTACTTTAGGGCTGCCGATCTTGCTCTTCCCAAGCTTGCCTTTGCTGCGTCGGGACTGCTCATGGTCAAACTCTAAGTCCTCCAGCCGCTGGGTCAGGGCGAGCTTTTGCTGGATAGCCATTCGCAACAAAGTGTTTAGAGTCTTCTTCTCGTCCTCTGCAGCTGCTAACTGTCGCTGCATCTCATCCAACTGTGTCACATATTCATCACATCTGAAACCCCAAAAGAAAAGTGGTCAGGAGAAGATCTTGGTGAAAGTAGATTTGGATCTTGCGTTGAAAGGAGAGAATTTTACTGGAATTGAGGTATTGAGAACCCTGGTCTTCCTCAAGCACAAGGGAAGTCATCTATTACACTGGAAAACTGGAAGCAGAGCAAGTTCAGTAATTGACAGTTCGACTATACAGTGAAGTACATATGGGGACACGCTTAACAGGCGACACCTAAGCCCAGAGACAGCTCTTGTAGGGACTGCTCCCTGGTGGCAGAAGAACCAACAGGAAAGTCTCAGATGATGTTCACAATAGCTTTCTTTTTTCCTAACTGTGCAGTGTTGGAGTCTTAAGAGGAATGTGACAAATTTGGTATAGTCTGCCTGTAGCATGCAAAGGAATAGTAATATTTATAAAGAAAATATGTACCTCTTAATTGATAGATTTTATTTACTTTTTAAATTAAAAAATTGGGGGGATAATTAGGTTTATTTATTTAAATGGAGGTACAGGGGCTTAAACCCACAACCTCATGCATGCGAAGCACACACTCTGTCCCTTGAGTTATACCCACCCCTCGAAGGTTTTATTTTGAGTTCAGACTGTAGCTGCTACTGCCTTCAATATGGCAGATTTGCCTGAATTAGAAACCTGAGTATTTGCCATGATTTCTCAACCAGATGATAAAGCAACATGTGTCAAAGAAAACCAGGACTGGCCTAGGGTTTGACACAGGCGTAGCCAGCTGTCAGGAACATCTTCACTCAGGTCTGAAACTTGTGCTCCAGCAGGAACATAAGCTTTTTCCACCAAACACCTGAGCACATGTACCCTTGGAAGGGAGAATGATTCACACAATTATTCAGAGTTTTTTTCTGAGTTTATTTACCTACCAAGATAGTAATAACAAATGCTCTTCATGAACCAGCAGAGAGTGAATAACTTCTGGAATTATCCAAAATGTAGCTTGCAAACTGAATTAACTTGTGGCATTTTAAAGAAAAAAATTAGACCTTGCAGTGAAAGAACTGGAGATCCAGGTGGGTCCTATTCCCCTTAACACTGAAAGTCAAGAAGCGTAGGAGGACTATCATAAGAAAAACCAGGGCTTAGTAAAATAAAATGTGGATTTCAGGACCCTGGATTTATTTTAATTGGTATAGATAACAATATATTTTTTAATATTACAGAGTAAGGCAGTTAATATACCTGAAAAACAAATTTCTGTGAAGCACATTATTCGGGGGTAATAATTCTTACATAAACCAGATTGAGACTTCAAATGTCCCTTTAAAAATGTTTTGATTTCTTTTTCAAAGAGGGGAGCACCAAACTCATTCTCCATTCTGCCTTCCCCCAGAGTGGCTGGGGTGGGGGGTGCACATTCTATTCCCCAAACTGCACCGTGCTCAGACCCAGAAGTCAGTTCCCCTGTGTCCTGCGGTCCCTCGGGCACTCAGACTTCTCACTGCCATTTCCAAGGGTCAATCACAAAGTTTGAGCTTGAGCCCTTTCTTTCCTGACACAAGAAAGAAGTTGGAAGATTCCAGGTCCCAGGACTTTTTTTTTAACACTTACATCAGCATGTAAATTATTTACTTAATCTACAAATAAAGCATAGCCACAGTTATGCTTTGTGAATTTTGTACCAAGTTTGCATCTTACAAGATATATAACTGTTTTTGTTTTGGCACTGAATTGTGACAGCAAAAGGAAACTGCAATACTATATTGAAAATCTCAAGGTTTTGTTTTTTTTTTTAATTGAAGTATAGTCAGTTTACAATGTTGTATTAACTTCTGGTGTACAGCATAGTGATTCAGTTATATATATATATATAT